TCCTGTGTGTACATACATACATAATTTTCCCTTCTCTTTTCCCACACCCCGGTTGCCCTTTACTTTTGAGCATTTTCCTTTCGTTTCACAATGTCTTTCATAGCTCCTACTTTTTATTCACTCTTTCAGGTCTTGCACTAGTGAGACAATACGGTGCTTACACATGCAGGTCTGATTTATTTCACTTATGAGTATGGTCTCTAGTTGTGACCATTTACCTATAAAAGCCTCGAGTTTACCTTTCTTTACAGCTGAGTAATATTCCATTATATGAAAGTACCACAGTTTTCTTATCCAATCCTCAGTGGATGGACATTTGGGTTGCTCTCACAATTTGGCAATTACAAATTGTGCTGCTGTGAACATGGGTGCACATATATCGCTGTGATATGATGTTCTGAGATCTTCTGGGAAGATACCCAGCAGAGGGATAGCTGGGTTGAATGGGACCTCTAGATCTAGTTTGCTGAGGAATGTCCAAACTGATTTCCACAGTGGTTTCACCAGTCTGCATTCCCACCAGCAATGGAGAAGGGTTCCTATTTCTCCACAGCCTCGCCAGCATTTGTTATTGGTTGATTTCTTAATGCTAGCCATTCTTACTGGGGTAAGATGCAATCTCAGTGTTGTTTTAATTTGCATTTCTTGAATGACTAATGATGTTGAACATTTTCTCATATATTTATTTGCCATTTGTATTTCATTATCTGAGATGTGTATTCATCTCAGCTGCCCATTTTTGGATTGGGTCTTTGAATTTGGGGGCGCTGATGTTTTTAATTCTTTATATGTTCTAAATAGAAGTCCTTTGTCCAAGGGACAATCAGCTAAAATTTTTTCCCAATTTGTGGGTTTTCTTTTTACTCTGCTGGTGATTTGTTTAGATGTGCAGAAACTTTTCAGTAGGATGAGATCCCAGTCCCAATAGCATTCCTATACACAAACAACAAACAGACTGAGAGAGAAATTAAGGAAACCATACCTTTCACAATAACATCCAAGAAATTGAAATATTTAGGAATCAATCTAACAAAATAAGCAAAAGATCTATTCAATGAAAACTACAGTACTCTGAAAAAAGAGATCAAAGAAGATTTCAGTAAATGGAAAAATATTCCTTGCTCATGGATAGGAAGAACCAATATTGTGAAAATGGCCATACTACCAAAATTGTTGTACAGATTCAGTGTAATTCCTATTCAGCTACCATTAGCATACCTCACAGATCTAGAGAAAACATTCTTTAAATTCATCTGGAGCCAGAAGAGACCCAGAATAGCAAAAGCAATCCTGGGCAACAAGGACAAGTCAGGTGGAATCACAATCCCTGACCTGAAATTATACTACAAAGCTACTCTCATAAAATCAACCTGGTACTGGCTGAAAAACAGACTGAGGATCAGTGGAACGGGGTGAAAGAAACAGTCACAACCAAAAACACACTCAGCCACCTAATCTTTGATAAAGGGGCCAAACAAACTCACTGGAAGAACGATAGCCTCTTTAACAAATGGTGCTGGAAAAATTGGCTTGCCACCTGCCAAAGACTGAAAAGAGACCCAAGCCTATCACCATGCACCAAACTCAGGTCAAAATGGTTCACAGACCTCAATATTAAAACAGAAACACTAAATCTATTGGAAGAGAAAGCAGGTAAGAACCTTGAAGACATAGGGGTAGGCAGAGAGTTCATGAACAGAAACCAAACTGCACGTGAAACACTTCAAGGAATCCATTATCTTTTGATGAGTCCCTTCCAGCTCTTGTTGCCGCCCGCTTGCACGGGGCCTGGAGAAAGCCCACAGGGGAGGAAGGGGCCACCTCCTCCCTGGGTTCCCTCCGGTCTCCATGGGCCTGTGTCCAGCTCTGCCTTTTTACGAGGGTGCAGCTCTTGGTGGAGCAGTGCTTATGTCTCTTGGGATTTGCTATTGTAACTCTGAGCTCAGTTCCTACAAGTGGGGTGCTGGGTCTTGCATATTGCTGAGTACCAGCACACGTGTGGCTTTGCTCCAAGTTGCTCAGACTTCCCATGGGGGCCGTGTGTTTGCCTTTCTGGCAACGGGGGTAGATGCCCTGCTCCCGCACGGCCACCTCCTGGAGCGGGTGGCCAGACTTGGGCCTTTTCTGGTTTGATGGGGAGAATGGTGTCTCAGTCGTATGGTTTGTATGTAGATTTCCACCGGGAGCCTCCAGGACTTTTAGAAGGCGAGTGGGTTATGGGGTGCTGCAGCCGACTTGTGCTGTCTGGGGTGGGGTCTGATCAGATGAGGCAGGTCCCCTGCAGGGGACGCGCCGCTGCATCTGCCTTCCTGGCCCCTCCCTTCGCTCTCCGCTGTTTGACTGCGTTAGGTGAGCAGCTGCTCCTCCGCCAGACCCTTCTGCTGTGCTGCTTCTGCCCGGAGCTGCCCGACCATTCGAGGGCTGACACTTCTAAATCATGAGCCAGAACGATCCTCTTCTTCTTAGGTTGTGAGTGTTGGGTGTTTCGTCCCAGCGATGAACAGAGTGACCACGGCCCTCCCTGCAGTCTAAGGCTGAACTGCCCCGTTCTGAGCAGGGTGGAGGGACCGGCTCCTGTCTGACAAGCTGTGTCCTTGCCCGGGTTGCCGTAGAGCCGCTGTTGCTTTCCTCTCTCTCTAGGAACTGTATCACACATAGTCATCTTCGCCTCTAACACAGGTTGCAAATACTTCGCACGTTTGTCTTTTTTACTTTACTTATTTGCTATTTATTTACTTACTTTCTGCCAAGAAAACACTCCTTTAAATTGTTGTTTTCATGTAGTCAAAGCTATTTTCCTTTTCTCTTCTTGCTTCTGCCATTGGAGTGGTAGCTGGGAAAGTTTCCACAAGTCTCAGGTTGTAGGGAAATTAAATTGGGGTTTCTTTCTTTTTTTTTGGTACCAGGAAATTTTTTTTTCTTTAAATCATGGTCACGTCTCATGTTTAATGGTGTCTTTCTCAGCGCACACGTTTGTCCCTTTTTCAGTGTGTCCGCAGCGTTTTGGTCGTCACTGTTCTGTGTGTTGGCTCCTCGGAGGCGGGCCTGGGCCCTCCTTCAGGTGGCTGTGGGCGCCGCTGCTCACGTCCCAGCGTTTGAGGGGGCCAGCGCGCTTGTTTTCAGGGAGGAGGAAGTGAAACTCGGGAGGGGACCTACCCGAGAACTCGTCGCTCTGTCCTCGGACTCGAGCTCTGCTGACCCAGAGGAGAAGGCTCACGAGCAGCTGCAGTGTGTCCGGCCCCTGCCTGAGCAGAGCGCCTGTGTTACGCCCTAGCTGGAGCCTCTCGTCACCTCAAGGGTGTGGAGGCCCAGGGGCAGGGAAGCGTGTTACTTTCCCGGGGACCATCAGGCTGGGGTCCCCCGAGCCCTTTGGCCGCAGACCCGGCCCCACACCCTTGCTCGTCCGGGGCCCTCTGGTGGGCCAGCGTTAAGCACAGTTCCTCTGCCCTGCTCTCAGCCCGCCTGGATCTGGAGCAGCTCTCCTCCGTGCCCGTGTCCTGGGCAGGGACCTGTGAGTGAATGTCACCCGCCAGGGTCCCCGGGGAGCCCAGGGCCGAGGCTCCACGTGTGGCCTCAGCCCCAAGTGCTGCGATGTTCTGGGAGCCACCGGCCCTTAGGTTGTGACCTTGTGAGTTATTACTCTCCTGCGCTGCGGTCATCCTTTGTCCATCCATGCACCCAGCCACTACCTCAGCTCGCCTTGCAGTGCCCGAGGTGGGCAGGCCTGGTGCTTGCCCAGGGTGACTTCCGGCCGTGGGCAGCCGAACATGCGTCCCAGAGCTCGTGGTCCCAGGGTTGAGCAGGAGCTGAGGTGGGTGGCCGAGGGAGCCCAGCGTCCTGGGGGAGCCCAGGGCAGTGCCCTTCCACCTCTCCTCCAGGCTTGGATATAGAGGACGGGCAAGGTGCTGAGTGCAGCCCCAGCCTGCTCCGCCCTCGCTCTCCGTGAGGTCCAGCAGGACGCAGAGGCCCCTGGCAGCCCTGGCTCAAACACGAGGCCCTGCTCTGCGATGGACAGCCTGTGGCCGGGCTGGAGGTGCGGGGGCCCCTGGGCCTTCTGGTGAGTCAGCAGCAGGCCAGGGTTGCCTGGGGCTTCTGACAGGCCGAGCAGTGGGCATCCGGTGGTCTCCATCAGCCCCAAATGCGTCCTGATGGGTCCTGCACTTCCCCAAGACCGAGTACCTGCTTATTGGACAGGGCCATGGCTGCCGAGGAGGCCGAGCAAGGCTCCCTTCTGGATCCAGCTGGTTAGGCCTGGGGGGGCTGTTTCCACCCTGGGCTGGGATGCACCCGCTGTCGGGGTAATCAGGTTTCTGCAAACTCCACTGGCTAGATGCACCAGCCACAGCTCCTCGGTGCGTCCCCAGGCAGCAAGGAGAAGGCCACCCGTTACATTTGGAGATGATTGCGCCAGGGCCAGCCTTCTGCTTTGGGGCACGTTGGTGGCAGGGGCAGCCCATGGCATGGCTTGCTTCCTGGCCATTTGCTTTTACAGTACCCCAGCGACCATCCCATCCGTCCTTAGGAAGTGTGCGGAACAGCGCCACTTGTCTCCTAGAAGTTGGTCTTGGGGCCAGACGGCCATTCTGCTGGGATCGGGCTGGTGGCCCAGGGATGTGGCTTCTCTCAGACTTCCACACCCGCTGTGCGGGAGGCCGCCTCGGGCTGTTGTCCTGATGCGTTGAGGCAGGCGGGCTCCTACTTCTCTTGACCTTTCCTGGACCAACCACTGCGGACTGAGATGCTGAGCTGGGGGGCTGTGGCAGTAAGGCCACGTGGAGTTCACAGGCCCGTGGGACAGCTTGTCTCTAAAGAGTTGCTGCCTGCATCCCTGGAGACAATAGTCCGGGACTCTGTGAGCTGCGAATTATGTGTTGGCCCCTGTCACCCATGTGACGCCCTTGACAATGGATCTCTGCTTCTTAGAGGCCCATGGGCAAGGGTGGGCCCTTGCTTGGCACCCTCCCTGGGCCTGCCAGTGTGACTGGTGTCCCCTTCTACAGGTGGTGAGAGGCTACAAGGCGACCATCCAGCAGACCCTGGACATCCTCTTCCTGCAGGAAGGCTCCGAATTCCTGAGCAGCACGGACGCCTCCACCCGGGACTCTGCGGACCGCACCATTATCGCCTGGGACTTCCGGACCTCCGCCAAAATCTCCAACCAGATTTTCCATGTGAGAAGCCTGGTTTGTTACTGAGCTCAGCCTCATCCCCAGGATGCGTTCCTGTCACCCTGTTCTGTCTGGGCCCTGGCCCCTTCCTGTGGATGAGGCTTCAGGTGCCTGAGGTCCCCAGGGTGGGGGTGGGTCCAGGTCAGGTCCTGGGACGCTGTACACATGGGGAGCCTTCTACAGCTCCTGGTGCTTCCAGACTTCAGGCAGGCTTTCCGGTGCTGCCCAGTGGGAAGGAAGCATCCAGGAGTTGGGGGTGGGTGTCTGGCCACTGTGGGTGTCCTGGCTACAAGGTCCTGCAGAGCCTGGGACTAGGGCAGGTGAATGCATGTAGCCTGAGTCTTCGTGGGACGAGCGGTGCTGGGCCTCGAGCTCACTGGCCTATCACGTGGCCTTTGTTGTACACATTGTCCCACTGCTCCCCGCTGCCCTGAGCTAGGTTCATTTCAAGCCTGGACAGTGGTTCAAACAGTGACACCACCCTACTTGCTGGACCTTCCTTCCACCATGTGGGGCCCTGGAGGTAGTGCAGGCGTGTGGATCAGCCCTCTGTCCCTGGGTGGCAAATGACCACACAATATAGACTCATTCTCCTACAGGCCTGGAGGCCAGTGCTTCTTGATAAATCCTGTGCGTCACTGGGTGAGGGCCCGGCGTTGGCAGGGCGAGCTGCAGGGAGGAGCCTTCCTGCCTCCTCTAGCTTCTGCTGCTGGCTGCTGCTCTGACCTTCAGGGCCGGCACGGCCACATCACGCTCCCTGTGCCCATGGCCTTGGCTGTGTGTGCCGGACTGTCTGCTCCACTCTTTAGGGGTGCTTGTGGTTGCATCTGGGGTCATGACCTAGGATCACCTCCTCCTCCCATGACCCTTAAGTTAATTATATCTGGGGTACCTGTTTTGTTGGCTTTATTAGGTCATATTCGGGGGTCTCAGGATCAGGACATGTGCATGTTTTGGGGACCATTTTTCAGCCTCCGATGAGGGCCGCAGGTGGAGGCTGGAAAAGGGCACAGAGTTGAGACCCCCGAGCCCTGCTGACCCCCTGGTTTTGGCCCAGGGAGACCCACGTCAGACTTCTGACCTGGGCATCGTGTGGTCATGAGGGTGTGCCACTTGGAGCTGCTCAGGGTGTGGTAATTGGCGGTAGCCGCCAGGGAAACTCGGAGCAACCCCGAAGGTGAAGTGCAGAGTGGGGACCGGTGCCTGCGGAAGGAGGGTGGAGGCTTCTCTGAGCCGCTGCGCCCTGCTGTCTCCCAGGAGAGGTACACCTGCCCCAGCCTCGCACTGCACCCGCGGGAGCCTGTGTTCCTGGCGCAGACCAACGGCAACTACCTGGCCCTCTTCTCTGCGGTGTGGCCCTACCGGATGAGCCGACGGCGGCGCTACGAAGGGCACAAGGTACCCGTCCTGTCTCCCGGGGCAGACGTGAGCCCTGCTGCGGGAGCCGCTGTGGAACCCTCTGGTCTGGGCGGCCTCTGCTTTCTCTCCTGGTGACGGCAGGCCGTGTCGGCTGCTGTCTGCTCAGGGCCCGGGCTGCCCTGTGCCCAGCTGCTGGGCAGGAGAACGTAGGCTGGCTCACACAGTCAGGCCGCGGGTGGGGATGGGAGCACGCCAGGGTGGCCGGGGCATTTCTATTCCCACCCTTTCCTGCCTGGGGCCGCCTTGCTGGGGCGGAGGGGCGGGGGACTCGGTGACTATCGCTGAGTGTGAATCCCTAGCTAAGCTGGGACTGCTCCAGCTGACTCCAGCCGGCTCCTGCTGGTCCTGCCTCAGGGCCTATTCCTCTGCAGGGCTGGGCCGTGGGACACCCACTCCGCCCCCCGCCCCAGTGGCCAGGCGCCTCAAGGACCGGGCGAGGCCCGCTCATCCCGTGTCTCCCGGCAGGTGGAAGGCTACGCCGTGGGCTGTGAGTGCTCCCCCTGCGGTGACCTGCTGGTGACGGGCAGCGCTGATGGCCGGGTCCTGATGTTCAGTTTCCGCACTGCCAGCCGGGCGTGCACGCTGCAGGGACACACGCAGGCCTGCGTGGGCACCACCTACCACCCCGTGCTGCCCTCCGTCCTCGCCACCTGCTCCTGGGGAGGCGACATCAAGATCTGGCACTGATGCCGGCGCAGCCCGGCACTGAGGAGAACTTTGGGTCAGCCCTTGGCACGGGCTGCCTCAGTTTCCGCATCGGTCTCAGGGTTGTAAGGGTCACGTGAATGAAAGCGCCTGCCGGGTGCGGCCCAGTGAAGGTGTGTCGTGCTGTTCTTTGGGCTGTTTCAGCCACGCGTGCGAAGTTGCAGCTTCCTGTATCCCTCGGGCCGGACCCGCCGTGGTCAAAGACAGAGCGGGCGGGGGCGCGAGGTGGGGCGGGCGCCTGCCTTGCCCATCCCGAGGTTCCCCAGACCTTGGGCCCGAGCCCCCTTCTTCCCAATGCAGTGTGACCAGTGGGGACCGGGGGCCCGTGGACTGCAGCGGGGAGGGACGTGTTCCTTCTCGGTGGCCTCTGCTCCCTCCACCATGCACAGGCTGTCCCCTGGGATCAGCAGGGGCCCAGCAGCACCTCTGGGGGCGGGGCTGGGCGGGAGCCTGCACAGCCCGAGGTCCAGGGGCCCCTGCCAGGAGAGGCGGGGCACGGACTAGAGGAAGGGGCCCCTCGCCCATCTCCCTGAGCAGGCCCGGCACTCACGTGTGTTGCATGAGTGAGTGATGTGTGAAAGTACCCAGGACCCTGTGGGCAGCCCTAGGTCTGCTTGCAGGTGCCCTGCTCCCCCAGCTCCAGCCTGGTACCTTCCCGTTCCCCAGCGAGGGTTGCTACTGGCATTGCCCTGCCCGGTGTGCAGTCAGGTGAAGACAAGGGATGGACGACTACCGTCCCCCGAGCCACGCAGCCCCTCCTGTACTGGCTCCTCTGCCCTGGCTGCCTGTGGCCTAGCAGGATTTGAGCCAGCAGCAGCTTTGGCCCAGCCCTTGCTTGCCTGGGGCATTGCTTCTCTCAGCCTCAGTTTTCTCATCCATTAAGTGGGCCTGTGGGGCCACACAGGGAGATAATGCAAAGGGCATTGTAGGTGGTTACCCTGTCACCTTCACTCACGACAGGCGTCACCCAGATCCAGGCCTCTGAGGTCCGTTTTTCTGCAGCTGACCTGTAGCCCTGACCCCCTGGGCTCCCCAGGGCCCCGCTGTGGCTGCCCCTCGTGCTAGATGCGATTTCTCAGCCAGGGGAGCTGGCTACCGGCGCCCTTCACAGGGCTGTCCTCCCGGGAAGCTTGGCTGGTTGCTCAGCCTGCGTCTTGCTTGCCCGTCTCCACACGCTTTCTTTCGAAGAGGGTTCACAGAGCCCAACTTCGATCCTCCGCGCGGTGTGGGGGAGTTCACCCTTGCAGTGTTAAGAGCAGAAGGCTAAACTTAGAAAACGTGGAGCAGGAGCGGAGAAGTACGGGCTCCCCCTCCGCCCACCTTCCTGGGCTGTGCTTACCTTTATCCTACCTTTAAAATCTGAAATGCCACAGCTGAGGCCGTGCCGGGGGAGAGGCAGTTTCACGGCGAGGTGCCCGCATGGCTGTGTGTGCCGACTGCCGTCTGGTGCGCCAGGCGTGGCTTCGGCTTTTACTGTGAGTGGTCCTTGTGCTCACAGCCCGGGCGGGTTTGGCCCACTGGAGGCCTTCACTTCCCAGGGGCACACAGTTACCTTCACCTGGGGGCTGAGGCGGGATGGCCGTGGAGGAGTGGGGTAGGCCGTGCCCAGATGGGGCGCCCTTCTGTCCCTGAAACACACTGGAGCAGGGGACAGAAACGCAGACGTTTTCAGAAGGGTGAAAACAGAGCGCTTGTGACCAGCAGACCTACACTGATGCACCTGGGGTAGAAAGAAGGGCGGGGCGCAAGACCGAGGGGGGCGGCCAGCCAGGCAGGATGACGCAGTGAGGCTTCCAGCGGGCTGGGAGGACAGGAGGACTCAGACGCAGGCAAGGCTGCCAGTGCTGACCAGGGTGGCCCCCAGTGCCACCTCTCCAGGGACCCACGACGGCGGGGAGAAGAAACGACCCAAAGGCAGACTCTTCCCACTAGTGTCCTTTATTAATGAATGCAAAATACAACACGAACTGGACAGGCATGCATCACAGAGAGGAGGGCGGGGGCAGGGCCTCATACTCTGAGGTAGAGCACAGTGGGGTCGGCAGGGTGGGGGTGGGGTGAGCACCGGCCGTACGGGGCATCGTCCCGGCCCCGCTCCGGATACAGGCCGCGGAGGAGCTCGGGGTGTGCTGGCCGCACGGGGAGAAAGGGGTTTTAAAACACTTCCTATACCCTAATGGGGTTCACGTCCCCTCTCGTGGACAGAGCTTCGGGTCCCCTTGCAGCTGGCTTGCTGGGTGTCTCCCTGCCACTGTGCAGTCTGGTCTGTCCCCTCCCGAGGACAGGCCCCACGCACCCTCCCCGGAAAAAGAAAGGAGCTTCGTGTTGAAAACGCCAAGGCTGCCGTCCAGGGAGCTGGAGGCCTAGAGCGTTAAGAAAGACCCTTTGTCTCTATAAAAATAGGTTCACGTTATAAAAGGGGGGCTGCTCACCTCGGGCAGGGGGACACTGGGCGTGGAAAGGTTCTACGTGGGTCTTCTGGGGCGGGGCTTGGACAGACAAGACGGGCGAGGGGCCTCCTCTCGGGCTACACAGGGTTGGGTGCAGAGAGTATCTGGCGGGATGGGGACCCTGTCGGGGCTGGTGTGGGGAGGGGAGGTCGCCCCTTGGGCGCCCCACTGGGTGGGCAGGGTTGGCAGAGGCGCTCAGTTGAGCAGCGTTCCGTAGAGCTGGGCCTTGGTCAGGCTGTCCTTGCGGCTCAGCCCGGAGCTGCCAGTCCGCGGGAAGGCCTGCGGGGGCCCCGGGCGGGCGGCGGCGGGGAGCATCTCTGGAGAGGCCTCCATGGAGCTGGGCTCCAAGGACTCCCCGGAGCCATGTTCTGGCTCAGGGCTGCTGCCGGCCCCGCACAGCTGCACCCCGAGCCTGTCCCCGTCCCCGTCACTGGGCGCGTAGCCGGGGAGGGTGTCGGCAGAGCGGCTGGGGCTGAGGCTCAGGCCGCCGCCTGCCCGGAGGAAGCAGGGCTCTGCCAGGGGGCCCTGGGAGAGGTCGTCCCCCTCCGAGAAGCTGTCGGCCTTATAGGTGGCATAGAGGGGGCTGGCGCGGCCCTCGGCCTTCCGGCCCGGGCTGCTCATGCTGCCACCGTAGTAGCGTTCAGAGAAGCTGCGGGGTGAGGCTCGGCCTATGCTGGGGACCGGGTAGGAGTAGGCACCGATGTCTTCGACGCTCAGCGGGCGCCAGTGGCCCCGCATGTCCTCCCTGGAGAGCCGGGCGGACCCTGGCTTGGCCCGCAGGCTCCACAGGTTTGGGGGCATCAGCGCCTGCTGGGGGCCCGGGGAGCCCGGGAAGCGGAAGGACTCCGCCGGGTATGGGGACATTGTCCTTGCGAACCCCGGGGCTACCTCGGCCTCGAGTGGGGAGGCCATCGCGGCCGCGGCCTTGGCAAAGCGCGGGCTGCCCTCGTAGGTGGGCGGCTTGCGGCTGAAGAGCTCGTCGCGGCTGCTCAGGTAGATGGCCTGCTGCGAGGCGGTGAGCGTGCTGGCCTGCGTGTGCTCCTTCTCCTCGGACGTGGCACTGAAGCTGGAGTAGGAGCTGGACGTGGGCAGCGAGCCCGCGTAGCCCGGGAAGGCGTCATGGCGGAAGCTGGCGGGGAAGGCCGCCGCCTCGGCCTCTTCCTCCTCCTCAGCCGCGCTGTCGGTGGAATTCTGGGCCTGCAGGAAGCCCACCTCGGCCACGGGCGTGTCCACGCTGCCTCGCCGGTCAAGCTGCTGCTCCTCCGGGTGGTAGAGGGCCGGGTCGCTGCAGCAGATGTCCTCGTCCTTGTACGGGGACCGCGGGCCGGACTTGTCCACGCCGTCGCGGAAGGCCAGGTCGCGGGCCGAGGCGTCGGACAAGTGGGAGGACAGGCTGGCGGGGTCGGGCTTCTCCAGCACCTTGGCGATGACGCAGGTGGGGACGCTGTCGGCGTAGGCCGGGCGGCAGAGCGGGGAGGGCAGGCTGCGGCCATGCTTCTCCAGGTGCAGGCTCACGCGCTCCTGGAAGTCCGAGGGCAGCTGCAAGGGGCGCAGGGAAGGGGTGGTCACAGTCAGCGGGTGGCCCAGCCCTGGCCCTGCAGCGGAGGACCGTCGCCAGCATGATGGACAGGCAGGCAGGCAGGCACACAGACAGACAGACAGACGAGGGGCCTCCCGGGATGGTCCTGGCACACCTGGGGGTGCTGTCAGCTCCTGGGCATCCCTAAATGCCCTGACCCACACCACCCCACGCCAGGGGGGCCAGCTGAGCCACCTGTCCCAGCTGCTGCCCAGCCGGGGGCGCTGACCCGCACTGCCAGCCCCAGGTTCCCCACCGGGTCCCACTGCTGAACAAGACAGACTCAGAAACATGCAACAAAGATTGAGGGGTGAGGGCCAGGTGCCCCGAGGCTTCCATGGGGGATGTCGCGCTACTGTTTGATCCATTTTGTGAGTGTCTGAGGTATGGCCCACACCCAGGGACAGGGACAGGGACAGGGGTTGGGGTAGGTGCGTGCGTGCGTGGGTGGGTCGGGCGGGGTGGCCTGGCTGGAAGGTCTTCCTGGGCCAGCTCTTGGGGTGACCGCAGTTGGGCGGGTGGCCTCTGCTCTGGCACCGGCTGAGTGCAGGCTGCCTGCCCGGGGCCCAGGCCCAGCCCCTTTTCCTGAGTCCACTCCTCACCTCAGAGGTGGGATGGAATGGAATTGTGCCCAGACCTCAGGGCTGCTGTGAGGCCCCTGGGCTGGAAACGCAGGGGTATGGGCAGCGTGGGCGGGCGGCGGGGGCTCCAGGGAGGCCAGCAGCTGTCCAGGCTGGTTGGGGCTGCCGCTGCCAGAAAGGCCAGGACCCGCGGGCGAGGAGGGACAAGGGGCTCAGGCTCACCCGGCGTCTTCCTCCTCAAGGGTGGGGAGTGGCCTCGGGGTGGGGCCAGCCCGAAAGGAGCCCAGAGTGGTCCTGGGGCAGGGTGGGCCTGGCTGCGGGGCGGGGTCACGTTACCTCGGACACCTTATGGACCCTGCCGTAGGTCTGGCTGCACTGCAGCAGCTGGGCCGCTAGATTGCAGTCCTTCCTATAGAGCTCCTAGAAGAAAGAGAAGGCGTTGGCGCCGCTCACCAGCCAGGGCCCGTGCCCGGCCAGTGCCCAGGAGCCGGTGGGCAACGGGAGGGGTGGAGTCGGCTGCGCGGCTGGCACCAGGCGACCTGTTCCTTCCCAGCTTTGCGGTGCCCACATGTGAAGCCTGTTCTGACTGGAGCCACTGGCAGGGGTGGGCTCTGCCAGGTAACTGGTTCTCTGGCTGCGCAGTGGACCCTGGGCCTGGCCGCCGGGCGGGGGCTGTGGCAGAAGAGAGGGCCAGCCTGCCCACTGGTCTGGACTCCTGGTCCCTCGGCCTCTAGCAGTCCTTCCGAAGATGGAGTGTGCATAGCTCCAAAGAGAGCCAGGGATGAGCCCCAGCCCCTGCCGCCCCAGCCCCACACCCTCGCATACGGGTGGCCTGGCATTGGGGCTGGGCAGGGCCGGGCGGGTGTGTGACCCTGAGTGCAGGCGGGGACCGGCTCAGCTTCTGAGCCGAAAACAGATGCAAACAGTAGGATCAATCGAGGGGATTTGGTCTGATCTTTGAAAATCTCTGTTGCATGTGCCTGTGTTGTGTGGCAGCTTGCACCCCTCAGCCAGGGCCCCCACAGGCAGCCCCTGGGGCCGCCTGCGGCACCCTCCCGGTGCTCCCGGCCTGGTACTGCTGCCGTGGTCCCGGAGCAGTGGGACCGGATGTCCTGCGGCTCCTCTCTCCCCCTGCTGCCACCCCTTGCACTGGCCAGCCGGGCAGCGAGAACCCGGGCCCTGAGGCCTCCCAGGAGAGGCACAGCTGGCTGAGAGAGAACTGGCCACGGGCACCATATGGCTGTGGGCGCTGTAGGGGATGCCACTGGGGGCAGTGGGTGGCCCTGGACAGTTTTCCATGCTGCTCACGACCCCGGGGGAGGATGCCAGGGCCCCTGGGCTGTCCGTGTGTGAGGCTGTCGGGTTCAGGACGTCCAGGGACCTTCCTCAGGGGCCTGAGTGCTCCTGGGGCTGGTGCAGGTAGGGGGCAGGTGGAGGGGAGAGCTCTGTGCAGAAAGGAGTCAGACAGTCCTGAGTTCAAATTCTGGCGCTGCCTGTGAGTGACCACAGCGTGACCCGGGAGACCAGTGAGCTGGCTGTGCCCAGTTTCCCCATGTGCACCCGCCCTGCAAAGGTGGCCAAGGGTGGTGGCAGTGGTCTCACACCATCGGGAAAGCCTCCGTCCTGGGAGGGCCGCGAGCCTCCTGCCACGGCCACGGTCCTTGCAGGAGCGCTCTGCACTGGGACCTCATCACCTCGGTTAGCAGGGCCCCTTCCAGTCAGCTCCCAACTGCCGCGTCCGCAGATCCCAAGGCTGCTTCTGGGCCCGCCCCTTACCTGTCGGCTGAGCACCGGCTGGCCATGAGCCACTGCGCTGCCTGGTGTCCCCCACCGCAGCAGGCCACTCCCTTGAAACCTTCCCGACTGGTTCCAACCCCTGCACCTTCAGGCGCTGACGGCAGCAGCTGGACTCTCTTCCTCTCCCTCCATCCCCCAAATCCTGTCCAGTCCCGTTGGCTCTGTCTTCGAAGTACAGCCAGAGCCCTCGCGCTACCCCCGCCCCCACGGCCACCAGCCTGCCGCTGCCTTGCTTTTGGCTACGGCCCTGCCCCCATGCCCCCAGCCTGTCTGCAGGCAGCGCAGCAGCCCGTAAAACCATGAGCGCAGGCTCCCTCGTCCTCGGCGCAGGACGCTGCAGGGGCCCCCTTTCCCTCCCAATGAAGCCAGCTTCCTGACAGAGCCTGCACAGCCACCCACCAGGGGCTCCCTGTGGAGTCTCTGCCACCCCGCAAGGTCCCCAGGCCTCCAGCCTGGGAGAAATGCTCTGCCCCAGACATCTGCGTGGCCACGGCCCATCTTCCGGGAACACCCTGCTGGCAGTGGCAGACCCAGGGGCCGGGTCTGCAAACGCCTGTGGGCAGGGTTCTGCTTTGTTTGGGCCGGTGTTGTTCACACCATAATCTTGGAGCCGCATAGGTCTGGCAGGAGTAGACGCTTTCTAGCGAAGCATCTTCAGCTGCCAGGGTCCCTAGAGCGTGGCCAGGCCACTTCGTGGGCTCCCTGAGATCAGGCCTGTGGGTGGCACAGTGCCCGCGTGACCTTGGGAGTAGCCTGGGGCAGGAGGCCTGAGTGCCATGCCCCACTCCGGGGCAGGCAGCTTCACCTGACACTGGGCAACACAGCCTGGAGTTGCTAGCTTAAGGCCTTTTGGAAGGAGGTCTGCTAGGAGCTCTGGCGGCATCACCTTGAGGACGCCGCCTGCCCCTACGTGCTGACTGCCCCATCCATTCCCCGGTCCCCGGTGCCACGCGGGGGCAGAGCACCCGAGTCACAGTCACCCTGCCTGCCCCTGATTCCCGGGACGCCCTGGCATATGCCTGGTGCCCTCCAGGGGCCAATGTCTCAGCACTCACGTTGTCCTCCGACAGCTTGTCGATGGTCACCTTGGCCTCCAGCAGATGGCTGTTGAGGGCGACAATCTCGTGGCTCAGCGCACGCTTCTCCTCCTCATAGTGCTGGCCCTGGAGGGCGGGGGCGGCGGAAGGAGGTGGTCAGAGGCGCTGGGAGGGCTGAGGGCGGGCTGTGGCGGGGTGTGGCTGCGGTGGCCTCACCATGCGGTACAGCTTGTCCTCCAGCTCCTGGTTGATCCTCTGCAGCGCCATGTAGTTGGTCTGAATCCTGCAGCAGGACGCAGCAGGCTCACCGCTGAGCAAGGCCGGCCCTTCCCATGATCCTCCGGGCCACGCAGCCATCGAGTGGGTGGGGCGGACCCCAGCACTCAGTGGCCCAGCGGCCCCAGCCTGCAAGCTAAGTCTCCTCCAGGCCTCCCCCAGGCTGGGGTGCAGGGCTGTGCTGATCTCTGCCCCCAGCAGGACTTCTGTTCGCAAGAGACAGTCAGCCCTCGCTCACCAGCTCCTCACACCTCTCACAAGCATGGCAGCTCTTACAAGAAGCTCGGCTTGTGCTGTACAGTTCAGTCACACATTAGCAGGGAAGCGCCAGGGACCTAACAGGGACTGAGATGTAACCCTCCCGGAAAGGAGGGGCTGCCTGTTGAGTGGGATCTGTGCTTCTGGGGCCCGTGTCCGTCTGTCCATCCCTCTGCTAGACAACCTTGGTGTAGCGTTACTACCCCAGCTTGCTACCAGGAAAACAGACACAAAAAGGTGCTTAAGGCAGTACGTGGCAGAGCAGGGACCTGCCCGAGGTGTGGCCTGGCTGTGTGGCCCAAGCTTGGCTTCCACACAGTTGGGTGGTGACATGCAAAAAGCCCAGCAGGCTGGGGGCGCTCAGGACGGACAAACAGCCCTTGCGCAAGTCCTCCTTGGGGCAGCACCAGCTGGTACTCTATAAATATTTGAAATGAACTAAACCAACAGTAAAATTTGCATTCTCTTTGCATTTTCTGTTCAAGAAGACAGAAAAGCATGTAATATGTTTAAAAAAAATCCATCCTAAATGTGAAGAATTTTTTTTTTTTTTTTAAGAAACATTTGGGAGTCTGGTACCTCAAGCTTCATTAGCCTCCGTGCCCCGCAAGGGACAGCCGCTAAACTCCAGCTCCCCTCACAGGCTGGACATCACCCTTCACCCCGGACCCCAGGCGCAGAGGCTGCAATCCCCATGGCCGCCTGGGTGACACGCTGCTGCCACACTGCAAGTGCCAGCAGGGCACAGATCCGGGCCTGGAGAGGGGGCCTAGGAAGAGCCTGTTTCGGGCAGCGGCCAACCCAGGGTTCACATCTTTGAGGCACTAAGTCTGACTTCGGGGGTCCCTATCTGCCGATAGGGTCACACAACCCTGGTAGGAGCAGGGCTGCGCTTGGGGCTGACCGCCGGCCCCGCCCCTCGCCAGGCCCCGCCCCTCGCCAGGCCCCGCCCCTCACCGGCGCAGCTTCTCGGTGACCTTCTCCAGCTCCTCCTGCGCGCGCCGCAGCTCGATCTCCAGGTAGTGGCGAGTGGAGTCGAACTCGGTCTCCAGCTTCTCCAGCTTGTGCGTGGTGTAGGACAGCCGCTTGCGCAGCTCGCCCTTCTGCTCCTGCAGCGCGCTGCAACGACACGCGGGGGGCGGCCCGGACCCGGGCGCTGAGCTCAGGGAACCCGAGGCCCGCGTGGGCCACCTGGGGCGCGCTGTGGGCGCGCACCCTGCAAACCACCGGGTGCACTGACACGCACGTTCGTGCGCGCGCGCGCACACACACACACACTCACTCTCCCCTTGAGGCGGCAGCATTCAGGACAGATGGCCCCCCAGGAATCAGGGCTTCTGATGCTGAGCCAGGCTGCCCAGGCCCACCCTCCACGGGTGTCCTTCCTGCGCGGCCCCCTCGCGGGACACTAGCCTCAGGACCTTGCCACCACGTGGTATAAGGCGCACCCGGAGCCCAGGGAACTCTGGCTTTGCCCCTTTTCAGCACCAGGCCCTGTCCAAGGCTAGCGCCCCGCCCCTGGCCAGAGCCTCGGCACTGTGGCTCGTCTCTGTGAGGATAGGCTCCCCACCCCGGGAGTCCGGAGGTTCACAGTGCCAGCTCTGCGCCCCCTTTCCGCTGGAAGCCCCCAGGCAGCTCCACAGGGGGAGGGCTCCCTCACCCTGAGTCACTTGGTTTGGAATGGGCATGGGCAGAGAGGCGAGGCCACCCCTCCCGAGCCTGGCTCAGCGCGGGGACCTCCAGGGTGTTGGTTTCTGTGGGTTTGCGGTGGGCGAGGGAAGTGGGGTGCAGAGCGCCCACTCGGACTGGGCCGACAGGAGGCCTGCTGAGCGCCACGCTGGAGACCCCTGCCATGCGCTTTGAGACACTGGGCCTGCATCTGGGGACCCCCGGGCCCACACCCGAGTGAGGGGTCCCTTCCCCTGTCAGGTGTCCTCAGGTTGGGGCCCTGTGAGCAAGCGACACGTGCTACCGCGGGCACCGTCCCAGCAAACCTCCACGAAGCAATCTTGGATTCCTGCCCAGGTCTATATTTTTAAAAATAAATAAAAATAAAGAGTTGCTTGCGTTTTTTGAGAATCTCGGCGAAGGGCGGGGCAGGTTAGTCCCCGAAAGAGGATGCAGAGTAACAGGGGAAGCCCCAGGCAGGCGCCGCGGCTGCCCACGCGGACGGCTGCGGGGCGCTCTGCCGCCCCCTCCGGCAGCCCTCCCTGCACCCCGCGGCCAGGTGCCCGCCTGCCCGCCTGGCGCCTGCCGCGACTCCACCAGCCACAGCCGGGCTTCTCTGAGGCCTTTGCCTGCAGCCCCTCCCCCAGCCCTGTCCATTCTGGGTCCCCTTTCCGCGGGGCACCCCGCGCCCCTCCAGGCCAGCTACCTTCTCTGTCCACCTCCCCACTCCCAGCTCGGACTCTGCCTTCATCAGCCTGACCGCTCTCATCGTCCACAGAGCGGGCATCAGCCCCTCCCCTCCCCCACCTGCCCGCTCTGTTCCTGGGTCCTCACAGCAGGGACTGGGACCCCCAGCCCACCCAGGGAGCCCACAGCCCAGAAGGAGGGGGCGTCCACTCGCTAGCGCTGGCCAGCAAAGACTCATTCAAGGGACACCAGCTCCTGGCCTCAGTTTACCCCTTCAGAAACACTGCTCCACCAGACTTCAAATACAGCCCCCAGCCCTCTCCAGCTGTCACTGCTGGCACCCCAGGCTCGCCCACGGGGGTGTCCCCGCTGAGTCCTCCCCACATTCTGGCTGTCACTGCCGCAAACCACGCCTGGTTCGCTCCAGCACTTCTCCTGTCACTTCAAAGGCCAAGCCTCCTCCACACCGAGCCACACAGGGATCCCAGCCCAGGCCTTAACATCAGGTGCGCCTCTGTAGGATCACCCCTCTCACGCTCAACTGACCCCGGCAACGCCCCCTCAAACAGGGCCACGCCCACCCGTCCCAGGGCCACACCCACCCTAGATGCCAGGGCCACACCCGGCAGATCAATCCCAGGGCCACGCCCCCGCAGGCTTCAGGGCCACGCCCCCTAGGGCCCAGGGCCACGCCCACCCTAGATTCCCAGGGCCACACCCCCGCAGACCCTGCCTCCCCCCACCCAAGGCTATGGAGACTGCCCAGCCCTCGAAGTCGGCGACAAAATTCCTGGGGGCTCCGCTTGGCAGAAGCTCTGGACAAGGGCTCTGGGAGGTCGCCTGGGTCCAGCGTGCTTCCTTCCCCGGGCACTAACCAAGGTCCCCCGCCTCCCCGCCTGCGGCCTGTTTCCACCTGTAAGGTGGGGTGGCGCACCTGGACACAGGGAGGAGACTGTCCCAGATGCCTGCTCTACTCGAGCACTAGAACTGCCCAGCACAGAAGTCTGATATTGGCTGGCACTGTGTGGGACTGGGGCCACCCCGCCTCTCAGGGCTGGGGAAGTTGCTGGGGCCCAAGGTTTCCGCCTTAGGTGAGAATAAGGCCTGCCACGCTCCACTGAGCTGGAGTCCTGGGTCCAGAAACGGCTGCTTAACTGATGCAGGGGGTCGGCATGGGCTGTGGGTTGGGTCACCTCCCTCTGATCTGTCAACTGAGGTCGAGCCTGGCCCCACCCAGGCAGTGTGTGTGTCCTGGTCACCACCCCCTGCCCTTGGGGAACCCTGGACACAGTGGGTCTCCTCCTCCCCCAGGGGCCCTCTGGCCACTCACAAGAGCCTGGGCCCAAGGACAGAGCTGAGCCCGGAGACCCCGTCCCGCTCTGAGCCCGCCTGCCTGTCTCAGGGAAGGTGGACACACACACACGGGATGGATGTCTGGGCACAGACACGGACAGTGAAGAATGGAGGGAGACACAGGTGTGTTACCTGTCCCAAAGCGAGGGTGAGGACCTGGTCAGGCGGCCCTGCAGGGCTCGGGACTGCCCGAGGCACGAGGGCACCCAGGGGCTTCGCAGCCTGTGGGCGAAGAGGACAGAGCTGCTCAGAGCAGGTGGAGGACAGGGCGGGGTGGGGCGGGGGCCACGCCAGGCCCACCGCTGGGTGACCAGCACAGCCCTCAGCTGACACCGAGAGAGGTGGGAATCCGTGTCCCCTGCAGGACAACTCCTGGGCTGCAGCAAGGCAAAGACGGTCCGGGCTGCTGAAGGTGAAGGAGGGGTCCTGCCTGGGCGCCTGCCAGCCCATAGGGGGCGCTCCGAAGGCTGTGAGTCCACGTGCGGCACCGAGTGGCAGGTCCTTGTCCCTTGCTGGGGTTTACTTTTGGTGTCCCGTTCCCACCCACAGGCCTGCAGCCACTGCCTTAGCCTGAGGGGGGCGTCTTCCTCAACCCCGCTGGGGTCCGGAACAGACTGGGTCCTCTGGCTATGGCTCCTGGTACGCAACACTCACGGGTCAGGGAGGCAGGCGGTGTTTGGGGGACTGTAGGATCTGGGGGATGTCTGGGTTGGACAGCAGACAGGTGAGAGAAAGGACACAGGCCTGGAGGACAACAGGACATACTCGTGCCCCCGGTGTGTGTGCTGGATGGCTGTCCCTTCCTGAGTCTCAGGGGCAGCCGACGAGCTCTGGGGGACTCGTGTGGCGGGGACACCCAGGGAAGCCTTGCTGGCCATGGGGCCGGCGTGGGACGTGAGCCGTAGCTGACATGGGCTGGTTCCATTCACAAAGGCAGTTCTGATGCTGGCCCAGAAGCCAGGCTTTCCAAGGTGCTCAAAGACCCGGGCAGATGTGCGCCGTGCTGGGAGAGCGAGCGGTGTAATCCCATTTAGAAGAACTGCCACAGACCATCATGGGAGGAAAGAAATGTTAATTTGTTATGCCTGGGTGGTAGGACACTGGGTAATTGAAAAGAGTTTTATAGGTTTCGGGATTTGTCATATTTTCTATGGATGAAAAGGCAGGGGGGAAAATTACTAAGGATTACGTTTTGGCATCAAGAGGAAAAAAGAACTCGCCATGCCCACTGGTCTGTCTGATGGGCTTGAAGGGGCAGCAGAGGTCAAGGAAAGCCCCCGGCCCCTCAGTACGAGCTCACCCGGCTGCGGTGAGCCTCAGTTTCCTCATCTGTAGGATCGAGCCCTTGCCCTAGGTCCCCCCAGCTGACTGGCAGAGATGGAGACTCAAGGCCCAGCATGCTGGGGGCAGGGGTGGGGTTGGCACACCTTGGACGCTGGCTGGATTGGACATATGAATCCGGTCCCAGGGTCCCCTTGGTAAACAGCCCCAGTGCCGACGAGGACCCCCAGGGCGGGCAGGCAGGGGTGCTCCCTCCAGAGCAGCCAGAAATCACTGGTGGCCTCAGGGGCCTGACAGAGGCCAGCCGTGGCCTTGGGGGTTCTTCTCCCTTGTCTATAAGTCTCCAACGCCACCTGCTAGTCCCTCCGCGGCGGGGTCTGCAGTAGCCAAGCTTTCCAAAGAGAGGCACAGCTCAGAGCTGATGGAGGATGGGTGGGAAACTGAGGCCCAGGGGAGGGGTGGGGCTTGCCTGGACCATGGGTGACCCGGGATCTGAGCCTGGTCACTCACAGGGCCCACAGGCCAAGCACCACGGACCACTTGTTTGGGTTGTGGTCTCCTCGGCCCATCTTAGGATGTGACAAGGGGCGAAGCAAGTGTCAGAGCAGGATGGGCAGAGACCCAGGCCTGCCCCCCAGTGTCCTGCCCTGGGACCCTGGACAGGAGGGGACACTGGGCAGCCTGGTAGGCAGCAGAAGAGGGACCACCTGCCTCCTGCCCTGCTGGTGTCCCCCATTGTCAGCATGGCAGCAGCTGGGGCCGACCAGCCCGGCGTCACCCCGGCCGGGTGCACAGGCTCTCCTCCTGCCCCTGCTGGGCAGTGTGGACAGAGGGCCCTGCGTGTGGCCACCCAGGTGGGCATGGTGTCCTCAGGCGGACAAAGCTGCCCACCTGCAGTCTGAGGCAGGCTCTGCTCAGCTGGGGGTGGCCCGTGAGCAGATGTCCGTCCTCCTCCTCCCCTGGGGGCCTGGCTCAGGGATTCCGGAGAGGCTCCGAGAGGGTCTGGGGACCCTCAGGCCCTTGAGGCGGGGGCGCGCCAGGCATGGGCCAGGGCCTGGTGGTCCTCCGGCCCCCTGGTACCCACCTGGGATAGGCGGCTGTGCCACCTGCGGAGCTTTGAGCCTGTGCTCTGCCCAGCTCCAGGGTGCAGAGGGGCTCGGCGCCCAGCCCCATGCACCCAGCACCGAGAGGCAGCTGCGGCCCTTCCTTCTCTGAGACCCCCGTGGGGCCCGCACGCCCATCCTCCACTCTGTCCACACTGTCCCTCCCCTCGGAATGTCCTGCTCCCTTTCCTGCACCTCAGATGTCCTGCTCCCTTTTGGGGGGGCTCTGCCTGATGCTGCCTCCTCCGGGACACCCACTTGGCCTGCACGCCCTGTCCTTGTCTCCTGCGGGCTGTCCTGCTGGGGACCACACCCATCTTTGCTCGATGGCTCCCCGCTGGACAGCACGGTGACAGGCTGGGCTGGCTGCAGTGTCATCGTCCCACTGTCAGGCAGGCGCCCGAGAGCTGCTCCGGCTCCGGCCTGCGTCGGTGTGTCCCGGCGCTGGCTCTACCGGGCCCTGCCGCCGCCCCGCAGGCACAGGCCCTGCCTGCCTCCCTGGTCTCCGTGCTCAGCCCGGGCGGCAGTCATGCTCCAGCAACGCCAAATTGCTTGTCATTCCGCACAGGCGGCAGCCGGTTCCTCGTCTTGGTGACTCTGTCCCCGTGTCCCTTCAGCCGGGATCTCCAGTGCCCCCTCCTGCCCCAGACCGACTTCTCTCCGCCCGCACGGGGGGCCGAGAGCCCAGCCCCACTCTCCCCGGCAGGGTCTCCCTGCCACACGCACACTGACAAGTGTCATTGGGGTTGAGTTGCCATCCTGTCTGCGGCTGAGTGCCAGGGTGCCCGCCCCCAGAACCCACCTGGAACACGCCCTGCCCTGGTCACGATGCCTGAGTTATCCCTGCACCCAGACCGAAAGCCCACTGCCTGGACGCCTCGGGCCTGCCACCACCCGGGCTCCCTGTGCTGGCTCCCAATCGCTGGCGCGCTGGCGTCTGGGGCTCCCTGGACTTCCTCAGGGCCACTGCCCTTGGAGTCCCCTGCCCCTGCCTATGTCACCTCCCTGGGCAGCCCACCCCAACTCCTTGAGGGGACACTCTGGGTGACATGGCCACCTGCCTGCTGAGGCTGGGGACCGGC